TAAAAGAGCTTAATCAGAATTAACCATACTCGAAATTGGTTGTAGGATAGCTGATATAAGGTCATCTGTGAAGTGCAAATCGTCTAGTTGTATCCAATCTGTCAACTGTATTCCGTGTTTCTCCTCACATGTTGAGGTGTTCATAATCCAGTCAACAATCAGAGGAAAGAGGAAGGGTGAGTGTAGACAGCCTTATCTGACTCCGGTCCTCACTTCGAATGAGTCTGTCAGCTGTCCTCCATGCACGATTTTGCACTGTAGTCCGTCGTATGAGTTCCGGATAATGTTGACAATCTTCTCAGAAACTCCATAGTGTTGAAGAAGTTTCTATAATGTCAGCCTATCCACACTGTGAAACGCCTTCTCATAGTCAAGGATGTTGATTTATAGTGACGAATTTCATTCGATTGATTGCTCAACAATGATCCGTAGTGTTGCGATTTGATCTGTGCACGACCGATGCTTACGGAATCCAGCCTGTTGATCTCGAAGTTGGGCGTGTACTAAGTCTTTCATTCGGTTCAGCAACACTCTGTTGAATACTTTCTCTGGTACTTACAGTAGTGTGTTTCCTCCGTAGTTCTCACATTCGCTCGGGTCTCCTTACTTTGATATCCTGATGGAGTATACCTGTTTCCAGTCAGTCAGTGGCACTTGTTCCTCCTCCCAAATCTTCCTGAATAGAACGAGTAGCCTGTTTGCAGTTAATTCTATGTATGGCTTTAGTGCTTCAGATGGTATATTGTCAGATCCTTCTGTTTTTCCGCACTTGATTTATTTGATGACCATTTTGATTTCTTTGATTGTTTATGGAGTGACATCTGTAGGAAGGTCTGTGTGTGCTGTTTGGATTTCTGGTGGATTCAATGAAGCTGGTCAATTCAACAGTTCCTCAAATTATTATTTATGTGCCTCGAATTTGACTCCACTTGGATCCCATTAATGATTGTCATTGAAACATAAATATCGCCAATCCTCATATATAATCATCGTCTTAAATCGCGTTAGTGAATAACGGAATTGAATAGGTTAAATACGAGAGTGAAATTCGAATACGTGTATTTCATACAATCATTGATTCAAACAAACAATTCAGACGCCAATCCTAATGTCCTGAATTCGATTTCTGCCTGTGTGGTCGTGGATGCTCATTGCTGAGGATCCCCTTGTTAAAACAAGATTGCTTTAAGGTTTTCAGTAGTTATCTAACTTAGATCGGTTCGTGATATCAATTATTCAGTAATATTCAGCATTTTACGTTAATAACAATAAATTGTCCGGTTGTATAAATTACTCGTAGATTATTGAAGAGGTTCAAATATTCTCAATTAGAATGCACTTTTTGTACTGAAATGATGTCTGATGACTGATAGTATTCTAGTGAGAAAAATTTCAATTCAGCATTTGCTGTATTAAAAGTCGTATGGTGTCCAATTGATATCTGTATATTTTTTAAGGGACAACCATGCTACACAGTAATGTATAATATTTGTTTTGATTAGAATTGAAGAAGTTTTGTCTTGTGCTTTTGAAGGACGTTTAAACTAAATCAAACTGCTTTTTTCGTCATTGTTCCTTATTGCTAATAGAAACAAATCATTTTGAAATATTTTGTGCCCATTTATCAAGATGCTTTCTATTTACATCATTATTTGCTTTAAATAACCCTTTAAGAAATTAATTGTAGTATCTTTTCAGAAAATTTGATTTTTTTTGCCTATTTGCGGCACCTGTGACATTGACTAGATACTAATCCATCTTTCAACCAAAGGATGAATATACTGAGCAGTAATTCACTCTGTTTTACTTTAGGGTTGTAACTTGTTGGTATTTGATTATAGATGCCTTCAAAAGATTGCTCGTGTCTGTTGAAAACACAAAGTGAGTAATGTTGAGGTTGGATATGCAGTACTAGGTTAAGATGGCAAATCAGTTGGCGAGGTAGTGAGTCTTTGTGGACTGAGGTGATTGGAACATACATTAAGTGTGCTAAACCACCATCTACCTAGACGAGGATTGTTCGCTTGGGTAGGAATAAGTTGTCAGGAAGCTAGGGATGACTAAATCAACGTGTTACTTTGTTCCATGAAGACAATGACCATTGGGCTGAGCCATATTAGCAGATGTAGACTACCTGTTTGTAATCTGTAGGATTATCATTACCAAAGGCTGGAGACATCGAGTGGCATAATTCAAACTTGGTCGCGAAAACCCAGATACATTCACTCTTTGTTTTCCTTTAAACCTTGAATTTTTAAACTCATATTTTTAATTAAACGAATTCATTTGTTCTTGAATGACGTTGTCTATATTTAGTGTTTTCTACTACCACAGGTACCATTACTAATTCTATTTCTATGAGATTTGTTGTAATATTTTTTATCTCTGTACAATAACGTGTTATGGTTGCCTGAATCGGTGTACGTATGTTCCAGGTTCTGCGTTATGCATGACTGACTAATTGAATTCTATAATCATAAGCTAATGTAAATGAATAATTTGTGTTACATATATATTACAAAGAGTGAGATGTGGTGGATAGATTCTAAACCCCTATTAGGTGAATAAAATAAAACCGCTAAAGTATGATGAAACTTGTTTCTGTAGTTCTCAATTGATTTAAGAAACAACAAACCTTCCAAGATCAAGACGATTCCGTCATTATGACACTGAAGCTTTTGTCGACTGGATTTAAACATTAGTGATCATTTGAGAGGAAGTCTTGAACTTTGGTGTAGTATTTATTTTTAGCAAGACTTATGTATCACTAGACAATAGGCATGTCAATACAGAAGTCACATAAGCCACCCAACATCAGTCGTATTGCATTGGTTAGTTTGTAGGTCGAAGGAATACATATATATCTAGTAATTATAGGACAAACAGGTTTGTGACTAATAGTGGAATTCAGGGTGTGTGTTTTGTTCTATTCGGGATTAGTTGGTTGGGTACATCTTGATTTCAATATTGATGGTTACACTAGGTCTCGAACCCGCTAGATTGCACCCCAAACTTCCAACATGTTGTCAACTGAGCTATTGAGTCCTTATCTAGTATGAAACTTCCTTTCATATAGATGTTAGTCTATCTCTAAACATTTCTAACAACTTATCACACTCTTTATAATTGATGAAAACAATCTTGTTATTCTAGTGATTCAAGAACTCCATACTATCAAGATAGGAATTACTGTAAGTTGGAATTTCTGAACACAAATTCACTATTTATGTTTCTTCATTGAATTTCCAACTAATGAATAGTTGATGTCATCTCACCTTTTTTAAAACATCTAGTGAATTACTTCCCTTCATAGAACCATTTTCATCAAAGAGTTAATACTAAATCTCGATAACATTTTAAAGATTTTGGTCGAGAACTGATAAATGACAGGTAATTGTATGTCTTCCACTAGATTTTCTATTCTTTTCGATTCAATCACTTCATTCTTGCAATAACTACTTGGTTCGTCAATGTAATGATTCATTTAATAGTAATCTGAGTTAATAATCTCTCGCGGAATTTGTAATTCATTGGAAACTCAAGCGTGCATTACTCCCACTGGTAAACCATTTGAAGAGTTCAAGTTGACAACAGTTTATTAACAAAACTCAATGATCAGGATTTATTCCGTCTAAGATGGAGAATGATGATGGTTGGCCTATGCTCCCTCACAAGTGATAACTGGCTAGGAAACTGTCTATTTGATGTAAATTCCTAGTTTATCCTTGTTGTTACAAAGTCACATTAGAATGAGTTATAAGGGTATTACTTTTTTAAAATCAAACCAATTACTCTTGAAACAAAAAAATCCCTTTCAATTACTTTCTAGATTAGTTATACCAAGGTGCAACACATATACATCATGCTTTGAATTCAACTATACATTCCTATTTTCATTTTATTTTTGGGAATAAAATAATCCAACCAGGTGTTAGCAAATTTTTATATATTTCTATACATCAGTTATGTAACGACCCTAATATTGACATGATTATGAAATAAGATAGCATATTTCTTTTAACAATTAAAAGAAAAAATAAACAGAATTTATTCAGTAATGCATATAATGACCTTACTAACTTATAAAAAAATAAAACATAACTCGTTTTTTGGGATTCTATAATATATTTAGTTATATAAGTTTAGATGAATCAATAAAAAAGAAAAACAAAATGTAGCATATGGTTAATAATGTTTTCTTTCCCTATCTCACACAATCCTATAATTTAATGAATACTCTCAAGAATAGAATTATTTCGAAATGAAAGGAAATCAAAGGAGGATAAGTAAACATCATATTCATTTTCCAGTTAAAAAAAATAATAATAATTTAGTCTTTTTTTGGTTGTTGTTATTGTTGTTGTTAGGTAAATGAATCTATTCCAAGTATTAAATGAGTTTATAATGCCATTCATGGACTAGTAATTATCGCAAATTGTTTACTCATATATATGCACGCACCTTGCCTAACATCAATATATATACATATATATATATATACATATACATACGAATATTTAAAATTTGATTGGTCAATAATATTAACCAATCAGTGAAGTATAATATCCTTAGTTCTAGTAGAAGTGCAATCATTGATTAATTTTTTTTGGTTTTGAATTCATTCATATATAGATATATCCGCTTATCAACTAATTTGTACATTATGTTAATGTAATTCTAATTAATAGTAAATTATGAATGAGTACAAATCCCTAATGTTTTATAAATACAACTCGATGAGATGAAATCTACTCATAATTTTCTAAAATATATATATATATATATTTTTGTTTTTTTTCACTGAACAAGTCAATTATCAATTTGAGTCGTTGTATAAAATGTGTAAATTACAAGAATATTGATAATATATTTCTATTATTATTATGATGTAATCACTCTGTCGCTCTATATATGCATATACATATACAATATTACTAAGAATCGAACTATTTTAATTAAATACAATTTTGTATCCAGATCTAATATTGTCTATAATTAATATGTCTGATATATCAAATAAAATAGAACAGAAAAATCATGAAAATGGTCAAGTCAAAAAAATGGGAAGTAAGTGTATTTTTGAATATTTTATATTTTATTGTAATATAAACTAAGTATTATTACTAAGGTTTGATTTGATTATTTTTAATAAATTGTGTAGATTGTTATAAATAAAACTAATATAATTGTAATATTTCAATAAGTAGAAAAATTTAGATTTTCTGACATTTCATTATTTAGTGTAAGCTACTTCTTCAGAGAATAAATAATCAAGTTTAAATAATACAACGGGACAACAAGAATATCAATCAAAAAACAGGTCTGAATGAGTCAATATCATGTTATTTCAGTCATGGTGTTTCATAAGCGACATGTATGTCAGTTTGTGTGTATAAATGTGTGCACTGTTAAAGATGAAAACTGTATGACCTTTATGATATGAAAGGATAGAGTTTAATTTGTATGTAAGATAATAGTGTACATTGTGAATAATATCAAACTAGGTGGTTATGATAGATAGTCCAATTAGTATGTATGGTAAGGCCTTCTTTTCTATTGAGAGCATTATGTGGACCGCTTCAGCTACTCTCATTTCTTGGTAATTGGAAAAACCTTTTTGTAATATTTTGATATTTTTGAAATCGATTTGGTGGTTGTTGAAAATCGTATGAATTGCTATTGCCGATTTGATTTGAAGTTTATCCAGTTCTACGGGATTGTTAAGAGGTTTCTTTGTGTACCTAAATATGCTTTTTTGACACGAGTCAAGATTTCGCAAGATGACTAACCAATGTAGAAGGCATCATAATCGACACAGCCTAATTTGTAGACGCAGTTGTGTGCTGACATGAATGGGATTTTTCTTTTTTTTAAAGCGAACCAAAGTATTTCGAAGTGTGTTCGTTGTTTTGTAATATACTTTAATTCTGTGTTATTTTAAGATTCTTTGGAGTTCTTTTCTTGTGCCATGATGATATGATAAAACTGCAGTACTAAACCATGGTATTTCATTCGAATTACTATTATTACGCAATGAAACGTCTTGTTTTATTATACTTCCAATAATCTTCATAGGAAAATAAATAAATTGTAAGATGCTAATTACATTCTTTTGTTCTTTTTTTCTTATCTTCTTCTGATGTGATGATCTTGTTAGCTCTTATAAAATAATCTAATTTTTCTACTCATTGGGATATTACAAATATATTATTTATTTGTAATATACAATGTTATTTTGGGGTAGAAGTCATTTGAGGGTAATTGCAACGCTCTCAATTTCCAAATCGTATGTTGTATTTGGTCATTTTTGTTACATTTTTCATTTATTTAGTAGGTGAATACTGCATGTTGGACCTTGAATGTTATCCGATATGATTCACTTATTACTCCCTAAAAATAAAAAAAAAATGTAATCCTTTTTGAAAAATTAAATGAGTAAAATATATCGATTAGAGATAGAAAAATAAATATGTCATTTTAGAAGCACATACGAGGATAGTATAATTTGAAGTATTTCAGTTTAGCTAGTTCATGACCTAAATTTCTACCTAATTTTCTCAAAACTTCATACTTTGTGACACTTATTAAACTTTCAGTCATAAATCCACATTGTGATATAATTTATTTCAACCTATATTGATCTTTATGGTAAACAAAATTTTAACAATCCTGACTTATCTATCTTAACTGATTAAAGTTGACAGTTTCGTCTGGAGATTTTTATTATTTTGTTTATCAAAGTGTTTAACCTTAGGGTTATGACTTTAATTGTTTTGCATGATTATGGACAATGGTGGAAGAGCAGAAGTATGTTTATTGTTTTTAACGTTCAGTATTCATAGGTTAGTAGGTTTAGGGCTACGGAAACAATTTCTAACAACCCATATGATAGATATTGCAACATTTATTCAAATTCAATTGTAAGACACATGTAAATAACACTTTACTGATTAACATGTAAATCGTTAATCATACTTACTTACTTACTTACGCCTGTTACTCCCAATGGAGCATAGGCCGCCGACCAGCATTCTCCAACCCACTCTGTCCTGGGCTTTCTTTTCTAGTTCCATCCAATTCTTGTTCATTTTTCTCATGTCTATCTCCATTTTTCGGTGTAATGTGTTCTTTGGTCTTCCTCTCCTCCTTCGGCCTTCAGGTCTGCAGCAATTTGGAAAACTCTCCCAGTCTCACACATTGTACGAGCATTCCATGTACCTAAATAAATGGTTGCTCTGGTTGTCAGAAGGGGCATCGGCCTCTTGACTTTCGAAGAAACTCGGCTTTCATTATGAGGCGTCATAATTCTTCTAAACGAAGACCTCCTGACTCACAGGGCTGAGTTTAAATGGTTTGAATAATTTTTTCTGGTTAGCGTTTTTTTAGCGAGTTAGTTTTCTACGGGATGGGGTCGCTAACCCCATGCCTAACCCTCCTCCTTTATTCGGGCTTGGGACCGGCAGTAGACCCCCGAAAGGGACTCCAAGCGGAGTTAAATCGTTAATCATAAGGTTTTTAAAATAATCGATTGTGTTTAAAAGTCAAAATCAAGACGCATTATGTCCTACATGAGATTCGTCAACTGGATACAAGTGGTTCCCAATGTATTCACATTAACACTTAAACTCAGTTAATTTCACCTCAAATGCCTAACATGTTATCCATTGACTTCAAAAAGGCATCAAAGTATTCTGCTGGTATGGTGTTCAGATTTCTATTAGTTAGGGATATATTGGGACGATCCTCATAGGGTGTACAGAAAAGCCGACACAGGCTAATCATAATTCATTTCTGGATATCAAAAACTGGATAGTTCAAACCATTTCTAATATGTTATTTCAATTATGGAGGTTCTTCATTGGAAATCTAAGATTTCCAATACAGTCAAAGTGACTTTATCGATAGATATATTTAGACCTAGAGTAAAACTAACTGCTACCAAGCTATCCATTTACTCATTAATCCCGTTAGTTAAGGATTATATTACCACACTGTGTGTTTAATACTTGTTACTCTGAAATTCCCAACTTTAACATCTGACTGATAATTATGATAAAAGTAAGTCGAAAATATGTCAGTTAATTTCTTTTATTTTATATCGTTTAATGAAGACAGAAGATAACATACACTGCCATGTTCAGTTGGACAAGGTGTATTTTATAACATTTCTTCCGTCATTTTCCAAGTAGTTACCTTGATGTAAGAATAACATCTATTCTGATTTGATTTTTCCTCTCCAAAAAGCCTGTTTTCAAATTATATATAATAGAGTAATACATTTTTGATCAAATTTACTATACATATCGGCTTATTAAAATGTGTGAGAAACGCTAAGATAGATCCTAACGAATTCGAATTTAAAAGCAAGAAGATTATTATGGAGATCATAGTGGTCATGGTAGATACATATTTTCTCCAAAACACGCAAGGGAGTCTTGCATTTTCGGACAAATAGTTCAAATATTCTCTAATCATGACCCATTTCTAATATGCATATATAAAAATAGAGGAAAATTAACACTTGCCATTAGGCTTATCAGATTTAGAAAGCTGATTTGTTTTTCAGCCTCTTAGGTATATAGATTTATGTGAATACCAAAACTTGTAAAAATATGATGTTTCAGATGACTCAAAATAACCTCATTTTCCCGTAACATTAAGACAGTGCAATTCTTCTTGGTTTTTCATATATCATTAGTAAGGTCATATTAATTTCGTCAGACTCACAAAGAAGGCCACAAAAATCAATTAAGTACCTGACTTGAGCCCAACCAAATTTACTGGAGATTTACCACTAAACATTGTCACTTAAATTACTGTAGGCTTACAGCATTTATTTCACATTAGAAGCTGAAACTTTTAGCTGTCATTTTAAATAGATGAAATAATATAGAGAGGCCTGCGTTTGATCCCTGATGTGGGGGGGTTGTGTTATACTCACTGACAATCCGGAGTCCTATACTAGGATGAAACATCTGTCTAATGCATTCCGGTTTTTATTGTTTGACTAAGATTAGTCCTTAATGTATGAAAAAATAGTCTCGAAAATTACTAAAGAATCCAATTAAGTATATCTACATAATGTTTTCCGATCAAAATTGTATGTAGACCTCAAGGTCAGACTGGATACCTCTACATTAAATCTAAAATAAATTAACCAAAGATTCTCCAAAATTTAATAACGGATCACTTCACTAATTGACGATGAATGTCAACTTAACTCAGCATGTAGGTAATGAAACTCTCGTATATTACTGAACATGTGGGATGTTGGATATTGTTTCAAGGGATTCATATGGCTTAATAACTTATGAGTACACATATTGTCAGGGTCAAAACACTAATAATAAGAGGGTTCGAACAAATTCCATCGGAATACTGTGGAAAATCAAGATTCATCAGACAGTTGTTTCGTTTATTTATGGGACTTCTGAGCACTATACATCTACAATCTCTTCAGAGATCAAAGTCAGGATTTTCAGGTCTCATGTGAAGCCATTGTTCATTAAAACCACTAGGTACAATTCTAAATGTATTGCACTAATATATCACATCATTCTGATAATTTTGATCTTTTGATTACACTATATAAATTTATCAAAGGGACTAATTGCTTTAAAATTCTAAAATCAACTCTATATATGATGGTTTTGAATAGTTGTTAATATTCTACAAGATAATAAAGAAAAACTAGTTCGTTTGATATTCGCCCTTCCTTTCTCTAACGTTTAAATTTTTCCTTAGTAATTATAAACAAGGAAAATTACTAGAGTTTATCGAGTTATCAGAAACTATTCATGGCTTGCGCGATTTCACTCATGAAGTGACTAAAGTTAGACATTCAAAGTCAAGGGTCATGGAACATGAAGATTTTTAAAATGTAACTGTCTTATAGATAATAACGCTCTGTTTCTTAACACAGTTAGTTAGGTGATAACTTGTAGAGCAGTTAAATACTCAGCAATAATGAACTATTACTCACATAATAATAAATCAATCAGTTTGTAATTCTTTTTCTCTATTGAAAGTAATGAAAGGAAATCATTTACTGGTTTATAATTCGTCAG